GATGGACCACGTTGGGCCCCAACGCGCAGAATGTGTTGATCTCGTGCAAGAGTTGACGAATGTCCTCCACCGTGAAGACCAAGTCGGTTAGGGACTGTTCGTAGTTACGCCTTGACAAGGTTGGATGTGACGAGGATGCTAGGATTGAATATGGACCAGTATAGTGTTTTCCGTAAACCTCAGATACCACTGTTGGGTCACTCGTGGGTTCTCCGTTCCTGTCCCTCAAGGAGGACGCGGATGGCTTGTTTCTGCGGCGGTCTCATGTGTTTGAAAGCACACTTCTGTTTTTCCGGGCAAGGTCCAAAATGTCGGCTTGTTTTCGTGTGTTCCATTGATGAATTTCTGATTTACAGCAATTTTGCATTATACGAAATACCAGCTCATCTTCTGTGTCTCCTGTGGTCAACTTTTTGAACAAAAGCCGAGACCTCTTTTCCAGAAGACGCCGAACCCTTTAGGTAGCCTGCGGCTCACCCTACTGCGTGTTGGTTTTTTGGAACGAACATCGCGTCAACCTCGTCAACTTCCTGGAAAATGGTCCTATATAATTCTTCCACTGAAGCTGGTTCCAATTAACCTGTTCAAGAAAGATGTGGATTTCTGAGAACTCTGCACAGCAGAAGTTTTGAATCCACGTTTGAGGTTCGGGATTTGTGGCCCAATAGCAGATAAGATCAAAGGTCAGCACACAGTGGTCGCTATGTTCCAGTGGAGCGTTACTTATTACCTGATCAACGAAGTGCCTTTTGTTGGTGATGACCAAATCCAGGAGGGATTGTATTTGGCCTGTGCGGTATCTGGTGGGTGCAACGACATATTGAGTTCAAGCGCTCTGTTGAACGACTTTAATCGGCGCCGCCGCAAAAAGTCCACTTGATCCTACCCGCTGGAGCTCAATCCGGAAGGCCTTTGGAGCTTTGATGTCGCCTACCATCAAGAGATGAGTGAAGTGTCAGTTGAAAGAGAGTTGCTCAAGGGTTCGTAGGAGAAACTGGTCATCTTCAGGGGGACTCGAGAGGCTACGGTAGATCACACCGAGGAGAGAATCGGACCCGCGCAGGGGATTGGGATCCACAGTGCATCGCAAAAAGGTGCAGGAGTGATATCAGAGAGGACAATCGGGATAGGCAGGGCCGCATATAAGTACAAAGCAACCCCACCAGCCCTCTCTCGTTTTGAGTCAGCTCGAAAAACAGCGTAGCCGTCTATCGAGATCTCCGCGTCAGAGACATCTGGTGTGAGCCAGGTCTCTGTGGGTACGATTATGGACGGCTGTTCAAGGCGAGCTGACTGTTTAATATTGCAAAGTTTGTTGAAGAGGTTGAAGCAGTTTGTGGACAAGTATTTGGACACTGTCTCTGCTATCTCCGAGGGTGAGGAGCCGAGAGGTGTGTGACCAAGGAGGTTAGCAGACTTACTAGTTGTACGTCGGTTTGAGTTTAATGCTCCAAAGGGACTTGTGGGGCATACTCGCCTGCTTCCTGCCTTGGTGGTTTTGGTGAATGCTTTTCATTTGCAGTTTTTTTCACCCCGTGGGAGTCCGGTGTGCTCGGGCCTTTTACCTTTGGGGGACGAAGTTTTTCCGCCGTGGGCGAAAATTTCGACAATTGCTGCTTGTAACTCTTTCAGCACCGCCTTTTTGACGACTAGATTTGCTGTTAATCAAAGGTTTGGGGCAAACTTTCGTTTTTCTGGTTTCTTGGGCGTTTTGCCGCGGTTTGACCGGAAAGGTGTCTCTTTGAGGCCCTGAGCTGGATAGCTCCACCAAGAAGTAATTATTTTGGTGGCGCTCCCATGAGGCTAGTTTTCGCAAATGGCTGCACCTTGACGCCAGCCAGCAGGTTTCTGATTTGGCGAATCTTACGTGGCTTTTTTGGCTGCAGTCGTCTTTCTTTTGTGTTTGTGTGGACACCCCATCCGCCCGCGATCAGCGTGGGTAACTGGGTGTACGAGGGATTTCCGGATTCGCTATGGTCAGGTTTGTGGCTTCGGTTGTCGGGGTACTGGGCGATGACTGTGTCCACAAGCAAAGAGGCCACTTTTGACGGAGTGGAGCTGGAGATTGGCAGTTTTACATTCTCGGTGGGCGTACGGTCGTCGCAGCATTCCCCAATGTCGAGGTCAACGCCTGTGACCGTGATGGTGGCCAAGTCAGTTATAGCTAATGCAACCAACGACAGTGGACAGCGAGTGAATATGTTAGTTCTTATATCTGGGCTTACGGGGATGTCGGAGTAGCCTGTTTTCGTTTACCTGCCCTGCTGTATGCAGCATAAAAGGTAACACTGCCGATGGTGCCATGCGACGGCCAACATGGAGTGTGATTATTTGTAAGTGTGTAATTCATGGTTATAAAAACCGTTCAGCTGCAGCACCCTTTCGGTGCATAACTGCCTTGCCACCAGGAGGAAGCACGGGGCTAGGACACTGCCAAGTTACACGAGCGTAGACAGGTTGAGTCGAAATGCGGTCCGGTTCAAGCCACGGACCTTCCCTTCAACAAATTCTCTCCCTAATAGCTGAGCCATCTCACCTATTTATTGCGGTACGTAGGCTGGGATACTCTTAGGGCGTCCAGATCCTGACAGGAGGATGATTGGGGTCCTCAACCCAAGCCTAGCCGAAAGGCAATGGTGATTGTTGCAAGACCGTCAGTGCAGCCTACCAAGCGCCGTGGGCGAAAATTTCGACAATTGCTGCTTGTAACTCTTTCAGCACCGCCTTTTTGACGACTAGATTTGCTGTTAATCAAAGGTTTGGGGCAAACTTTCGTTTTTCTGGTTTCTTGGGCGTTTTGCCGCGGTTTGACCGGAAAGGTGTCTCTTTGAGGCCCTGAGCTGGATAGCTCCACCAAGAAGTAATTATTTTGGTGGCGCTCCCATGAGGCTAGTTTTCGCAAATGGCTGCACCTTGACGCCAGCCAGCAGGTTTCTGATTTGGCGAATCTTACGTGGCTTTTTTGGCTGCAGTCGTCTTTCTTTTGTGTTTGTGTGGACACCCCATCCGCCCGCGATCAGCGTGGGTAACTGGGTGTACGAGGGATTTCCGGGTTCGCTATGGTCAGGTTTGTGGCTTCGGTTGTCGGGGTACTGGGCGATGACTGTGTCCACAAGCAAAGAGGCCACTTTTGACGGAGTGGAGCTGGAGATTGGCAGTTTTACATTCTCGGTGGGCGTACGGTCGTCGCAGCATTCCCCAATGTCGAGGTCAACGCCTGTGACCGTGATGGTGGCCAAGTCAGTTATAGCTAATGCAACCAACGACAGTGGACAGCGAGTGAATATGTTAGTTCTTATATCTGGGCTTACGGGGATGTCGGAGTAGCCTGTTTTCGTTTACCTGCCCTGCTGTATGCAGCATAAAAGGTAACACTGCCGATGGTGCCATGCGACGGCCAACATGGAGTGTGATTATTTGTAAGTGTGTAATTCATGGTTATAAAAACCGTTCAGCTGCAGCACCCTTTCGGTGCATAACTGCCTTGCCACCAGGAGGAAGCACGGGGCTAGGACACTGCCAAGTTACACGAGCGTAGACAGGTTGAGTCGAAATGCGGTCCGGTTCAAGCCACGGACCTTCCCTTCAACAAATTCTCTCCCTAATAGCTGAGCCATCTCACCTATTTATTGCGGTACGTAGGCTGGGATACTCTTAGGGCGTCCAGATCCTGACAGGAGGATGATTGGGGTCCTCAACCCAAGCCTAGCCGAAAGGCAATGGTGATTGTTGCAAGACCGTCAGTGCAGCCTACCAAGCAATTCGCCATACATTTTCCAACCGTCAACCTGGAGACTGCTAGTGAGACCTCTAATCATTTTTCAGACTGGTATGAGAGGTTCCGTAAGTGCCGTACGTACAGTCCGCAATGTAGCTCACTGGATTATGGAGTGCACAAACCGTCAAATCGCGGTAAGGTTCAGTCTCTTCGGGAGGGCGCTCCAAGACTGCAGAAATTTTCCTATTTGTTTCAATCGTATGACTGCGGTTAACAACTATAGACATGAATTGAAAGGGGATCGCACCGGGCCTATTGAATTCAGAAGCTCTTCACACCTTAAATTGAATCCGTCCTATGGGCATATATTTTGATTTCCACTCAGCGAACCATACAAATCTGGACACTTATGAGGACGCTTCATGAAGTGATTCTGGAAGCATTCTGTTGGGCCTTTGAAGTTAACCGTAACTTTAAGTTGTGCCAAACTTCGCTAGCGATTTCGGGTAATATAGACCATTCTGTACCTATCCTAGCTTCCTATTTGGGATGCAAACGTATTTGTGCATTTTAACCGTATCCTTTTAGTTTTTAAGTATTCCAAAAGCTTGACGGTAGTGACATAGTGTTGTCATCAGGTACACGGCTAGCTAATAACCAGTGACTCTGAAAATATTAGGAACAATGTAAGACTGATATTCAGTGGAATAAACCGTACTACTTCAATGAGGAACATTAAAGAAAGGAAGAAATACATTAAATGTGTTTACAAACAGAGTGCCGAAAAGCTGTCGGTTCAAAATAGTTTCGAAAACGTGGGTGCATGCAGACGAAAGCAGAGTCGACTAAGGCGAGCACGGGTTGCTACATTGTGACCCATACATCATGCACCTATTGTCATGATTTCTAACGTAGTGCATCAGCTGATTTGTCGAGTGGCCAAATATTCAATCAACAACTGGTTAATGATCCCCATATTTGGAAAGTTGCGATAAGCATCGGTCGATTTTCTTATCCGCAAACAAAAAGGGACGAGGAGGTGTAGATCCGCTGGCTTCCTATGGCAGAGCTAAACGGAACAACTGACTCAGTCACCGGTGAGATGAAAATGAACTCCGAAATATTGGGCACCAAACATCGATGAAATTATCAAACAGATAAACCTCCCCCTTGTTACTGGCCGTTAAAGTTTCCTCTCAGAAGGTAATGACCGTAGTTAGAACTAACAGGTTGCTCTTTTTGTGGTCGAAGTCAGCTACTTTTCTTAAAAATAATTTTCAGAATGTATCTGCGGCTCGTAGCGCACATCAGTAAAATCAGGACTGTGTGCACACACTATCTCTCACGGAAGTTATGTCAAACTGATTCAAGCGTGAGGGGTTCATGGAAAGGCTGGACACAGTACGAGAATAGGTAGGGTTCATTGTTTGAAACGACCTCTGTACAGACCACAGCACACCGATATTGAACAGACGTCGGTATTTTTATTCCCAGGCCAAGGCTCTCAGTTTGCAGGGATGGGCAAGAATCTGTTACGGGTTCCAAAGGTTCGGGAAATGTTTCAATGCGCTAACGAGATGCTACGGACTGATCTACTTAAAACATGCCTTGAAGGCCCACAGTCCAAGCTTGACCAAACTGTACACTGTCAGCCGGCTACTTATATTATATCACTAGCATCAGTCGCGAAACTACAAGAAGATGAAGACGAAGTTTGTGAGTTTCATATGATATCTTAGCATACCGCAGGTCGTTCGAAATTGCGTTGCCACCGCGGGCTTCAGTGTGGGTGAAGTGACCGCACTTGTCTTCGCCGGGTCCATGACATTCGAGCAGGGTAAGTGTCTGCTTTAATTCCATTCTATCTAGCATTTAGGACTGCATGTGATACGTGTTCGCGCTGAGGCCATGCAAAAGGCATGTGATCGCATCAAGGGTGCAATGACTTCTGTGTTTCTCAGTCATGATTCGCAGTTGAAACTTGCCATATCAGCTGCGCTTGAGCACTGCAAGACACATTACAAGTTAGAGAATCCGGAATGTCGAATCGCCAATTATCTGTATTCAGATTGCAAAGTGGTTGCGGGACACCTTCAGGTACGGGTTCGCGTTGTTGTTTCTTCGAACTCAATCTCCAGTGAGCACATGATTGTTTTACGTTAATGATTAGTACATGCTTGACAGATGCTGATCTGAAGGAAGTCTACGGAGTTTCCATACATTTCGTTCATTTTTCTTGAGGTAGTCAATGCTCCTCCGCCCGGGTCCATGTTTAATTGTCTGAGGCTCCCTACATTCTGTGAAGTATTCCCAAAGTTAAAACATTGAGTTTCTGGAACTCCACTTAACTGCCGAACCCCAAACAGAGTGAGATCAGTAACGGATTCCCGGTTCATGTTTGGTACATCTTCTCACTATACATGAAAGGTAATGCTTGAAGTATACCATAGAGGATATTCAGAACCGTAATGTTCAAGTCGTTACCAGTTAAAAAGCTATCCACCTCGAACAGGCAGACGGCATCGTTTTCATTTTTGAAAAGAGGAAGAGAATTTGGTTGCTTATGATGAAAGGGACTGAGATATCGCTCCGTTTGTCATGCGTTTTGCTTTCAACCTGGAAAGGTTTCAGATTTTTTAATCATTAGACACTTTGCTTGCATTTGGATGGGTAATGAAAACTGTGGAATGCTGTGCGTGTTCCGAGTGTTGTATTAGCTCCGGTCACAGATTTTTTAGCTTGGTTATTTGCTAAGTTGTATCACTTGCGGCAATCCGTGCTTATATATGTGAATCTAGCGAATCGCCTGTATTCGCTTACAACCTGTATTACGTGCGCACTCCCCGTGATTTATTTGACAGCGCGTGCCTCGAAACGATAGTTCGGTCGCCACAAGGTGATCAGAAATCGCTTCTCGGCTGTAAAGTTACCCTTCACTTGTGAATGACATGTCATACTCTCATGCAAGAACGTTGTATATCTGGGTCGGTTTGGATCGTTTGAATTGCAAATGTGGGTAGCACTCCTTCCAGAAGTTCTTATCGTCACGATTACTGCGTCGCTGTTCAACACGGATGCTCTTAGCAATAATTATTATGAGTGCATAGGTATATTTATGCTCACTGAGAATTTGTTAATCTGAAACCTTTGAACACCCTTATTTAGATAATGTTCATTCTCTGGTTCAACCGCTTAGCTTTAATTACTCAGGATGTTTTCGATTCAATCAACAGCCTCCGTGATCAGATGATAAAACAGTGTAATATGAAAAGGGCTCACTCATTGCACCTCGTGGTTAAGCACGGGCCATGCCACCTTAGTATTGGTGTCATGATGCTGCTCTAATTCGTGTTAGCTTATCAAATCAACGGTTTATTGCGCATGCGGATACGAAATTTCGTTCAGTTGGTACTGTTTTCATTTAGCTTTTTTACACATACATCATATACCTGTGGTTTTGTGATTGCTCTTGCCTCATTTATCCAGCTGGCACAGTTGTCACCACTTGACTGAGCACTAGGCCACTAGAGTGCCGTTTTATTTCCTGATCCACCTCACTAAGCCAATTCCTATCGAATTTTAGTGGAAGTTCAGTTTTTCCGCCGCTTTCAGATAGCTTGTTATGCATAACTATACTGTGGAGATATTTAATACTGAATCACATTTCTGTGGGTGTACACTGGGTTATGTAGCATCCAAATTCGGGTTGCGTCGTTTTGTTTTATATCCCATGGCTGTACAACCACATGAGATTGAGGTATTTTTGTATGACATTACAATTCGAGATAGATCAAGTTGGCGCGGAGAATCTTGAGAAGGGTTTATGGTGTGGAGCCACTTGGTGTATTGTCATTGTTCCTTTCTGTACAGTATCTTTGCGCTCGTGCTTCCTTCGAATTCCTTGACAGCCTTTACTAAAAGCAGTGATGTAGCTGAACAGTTAACTTTGATTCTTCGATATTTCGTAGTTTCCGCGACCATTCTAATTAATCTATCTATTGAGGGTTCGCTGCCGCAGAAAGCTGCATACCGAACATGAAAATTCGATCAAAATATTGATATCTCAAATTATCAGTAGGTCTTCAGCTAAAATTGACACGGAGTATGAGATTGATTATCTAGTCACATGAAAACCGGTGTCATACGAATCGATGTTGAGCACGAATTGAGGTTCCCAAATTCTGATGGCGTGTTGACGAGCTTTGTTGCCTCCGGAGTCTGAACGATAACCAGCCATTGGATTTTCCAGTGAATGCAAGCAACGGAATCCCGAAGGCGGTTTTGAGGATTCGTGCATCTCGTTGATGCCTCGCCATGGAGAATCTGAGTTAGTCAAACTTGGAGATGGTTCTAGAAGTGAGATCGCACAAGGACAGCATTGTTGGTAGAATTCCGCAGAAGAGAACCACAGTTTTATGTTGTTTCTTTGAAAAAAACTTGATAGGCCCAAATTTAACCTCTTGTGTACTTGAAACAGGTGGTTCAGTTGCCTAATAATCCAGGAGATTGACTCCTCGGCGCGAATGTTTTTTTCCAAGTTGACTGCTGCTCAAAGTAACCGTTGAGTCAGGTCTTCAGGTTGTTTTTGCCCTGTTTCACCTCAGTTTCGTTTCCATTTGACAGGCTATTGAATTCATCGAGCAACACGCTCCACAATTTAGAATCCGTCGAGTCAAACGACTACCTGTCAACGGCGCATTTCACACTTCCCTTATGAGGTCTGCTGTTGAACCTGTTTCTCGAGCAGTTTCACGCATTGACCAACTCAAGTCGCCTAGTATTCCAGTCGTTAGCGCTCTGGATATTTTGCCCTACACCACAGTGGAGAGCGTCAGACGCAAACTTTCTTTACAGGTGAATCCGTTTGACATTTCATGCGGTATGCTTGCTTCACGCTGTTGTAGCCAGTGTTGTTTTACTGCGTCTGAAACAGAGAACAAAACTCGCTACTTCCGTGTTTTTACCTCGTATAGTGATCAGTGATTATCATTTAGCCTCTCATTGTTAGGATGGTGAATTTTTCCACCTTTTATTTACGCCATCATTGACTCGATAAACTGGACGTCTAGAAATTTCATTATCCTGAGTCACTGATTTTTATGATTCCGTGGAGTTGGCAAGTGTACGATGCAGTTGCGAGCTGGCAAGCACACAAGGAAAAATACCGCGATCCATTCTGGGCGACGAAGGTAGTGAAGCAGTTTGACTTGTTCTGATATGCTGACTCATTCTACGCAACAGTATTATTCTGATTTCTACACTTTGATTTCACTGACCACCGGTTGTAGTGAAAACCGATAGAATCCTGCATAACTCAGTCCTTCGTACTGTCATACCATAATCATCACGATTTTACAGGGTTTATCACCAAAGAGTCCTGTCCCGGCAAAAAGGCTCTGGAATGGAGAATTCCCTGGTATGCGAAGAGCCTGCCCTAACCAACTCAGCCCGTGAAGCGTGATTGGCTCTCGTATCGTCCAAAAACGGCCCTGTTCACATCGCCATTGTTGCTCCAATGTTCTCACTAGGTAACGACCATGTCTCGGAGACACCACTGGCCAGGCACTGAAATTATTTTCGGCGCTTTTTGACCACATTCCCTATCTACAAGGCCATGTACATACATCGTTAATTTTACCCTCGATAGACAAGCTGACATCATGTATTTTTCACCTCTTCTGTTTGTAATGTGTCCTAGTTTGTCCATAACTCCGAGGACTGTTCCGTCTATCATACTGACACTTCTAGTTATGCCAGTTCGTGGTGGAGCAATAGTGGATGCAAACGAACGCACTTTGTTTCAGTCCCAGTGTTTTGATGACAAAATGGGTTTATCACGTCAGTTGAAATGACCAGAACCCATGCCAGAATGAGTGTGGGACGTCAATTTGAGTCAGCTCAGCAGACTCAAATGAAATGGCATTTTTGAGACAGTGTCCGGAGAGTTTCCTTGTGTGTTTTGTTTATTGGTCCCATGGGACGGCATCATTCGCCAACCAGCTATCACAGTGGTTCACGAAACGCGGAGAAGTTTCACTTTTGGTTGAGAGATACAGAGGCTAAGTCAATTGTCCATCGGCCAGTTCAAACGATAGCCATAGTGAACGAACGACTAGTTGGCTGCGCGGCTGGCTATGGACGGGTATTTGTAGACCATAGAATAAACTGGGGAAACTGGGTCGTCACGCCTTTGTCAGAATGACAACTGCAGCATCAACGGAAGAAACTGTAAGCTAGCTGCCTTTTACCGAAAAGTGGGTTGTAAACTTTTGAGGTGGTTGGTCCCATTAGCCCATGAAACCTCAAGTTGTAAAGGTAATATCGATCCCATTACGACGTCAACTCTGAAATGTTCATCGTGTCTACATGCTTAGAAACTAGTTGATTAAGCGACTGTTGGATTGTGTTGTCATCATGTAGCCGTATATCTTATTGATCAAACGAACATGTACACACGAACTTGCGGTGATGGTCGTGTGTGGAAGCAGTTATTGAGCCACAGAAAAATCCCGCATGGTGACAGTATCGCTGAGCACTTTTAGCCAGACTAACGTTTCGAGAGTGCAGTAGGTAGGTAGGTGTGATAGCTAGTGCTTGCCTCACGAATGGAGTGTAACACTATCTCACTACGGTGAGGGAAGTTTTGAGGAAATAAGTAATCTAATCCCCGTTACCTCGGTCCAACTTGGCACTGTGTCACCATCGTCGACAGAATAAGATCAGTGTTCAACACTGATACTACGGTGCCGTACGACTATGATTTATTTGAAAGCCTTGGTTTGAAGAAAATGAGTGGACGGAGAAGAGACTTATTGCTACCCTGACAGCCATTCCGAGGTGCCTACACCTCCAGACACTCATTCAGACAATCTGGATAGCAAATAACAAGAACTCCACTTAAGACGATCAGCTTAGTTCTCGGTCTGAACGTTCTAAGTTCTCGTCAAAACAACGTGTATTAAGCCCCTCAAAAGCAGGGCAAAAACACAAACAGCGCGTCGTATGCAAACTGTATTGGAACATTCTGGAAATTCTAACGCCTGAATGTGAGATTGGCAACCGGTGGACACTGGGTCGTGAATGTCTACTGGGTTCACACTTTCGGCCAATCATAGCTCGCCTTGATGCTGGACCGGCAAGCAGCCCGATCTCCTGGCCAATCGCGTGCGGGTTAGTCTTGTCCTTAGCAGCGCCCAACTACCAGCGGTTTCGGTGCGGGATTTCGACTTGCACATCGTCGAAAACCAACCGCAGTGGAGATCACACGGTCATCAGCGTGGAAGACAAGCAGTACCCAGGCATTCCCTGATCTCCCATACTCCTCTGCCAGATCAAAGATTGGTCACTTCTCAGAATTGGGCACAGGCAAATGATAGTCCGGTATGCTCAACATATGGCCTAGCCAACGCAGCTTCTTCGATGGAAGTCCACGTTGCACAACCGAACATCCGCTTTCTTATTTTCCTGTTATTGATTCGCCGACACCAACCCATACGAGCTACGGTTCTGAGACAACTATTGTTGAACATCTGAAGGAGCCTCAGTTCCGCTCAGCCATACGAAACAGTCCGTACTGTAGCCTGGTACACACGCCCCTTGATCTATACCGTGTTGTCACCATAGGTGTCTTTCAAGCCTTAACGCAGCTGTGTTGATTTTCACCTGATAGAATCTTCCATTTTAGTTCAGCAACTTGAGTTTGTTGTCTGCAAGCGGTGATTCCGGGTCGTTGGGACTGTTTTAATGAAGTGAAGTTATATCGCATCCAACCAATGAGCAATAACTGATTATTCACCGGTCGCCAGTACTGGTTACTTTTGCATACCTTTCTGTGCTCACGGTTTTCGTTTTGTTATTTAACTCCTCTCTCCGAACACGAAGTAACTTCCAAGATAAACAGTTTGGAAAATTTGCCTACGAATTTGTTCTGTTACGAACCGCACTGTCTTGAAGACTACTTCCATTTTAATTCTTTATTCTAGCTTGTGCGTCCTGTCAAATGGGAGCAAACGCTTCACGCGTTGTACATCCGACCACCGGACACTCCGTTTCCAGTCACAGTCGAACCCGGTCCCGGTAAACAGCTCGGAGCTATGTTGCGAATGACAAATCGTAAGGCATTCGCTCATTATCGGGCACTCGAAGTGTAGTGTTCAAATTATTCACTGTATATATAATGTATACAAAGCAGCCACTTTCGCTGTTTTTTGCCAGTTATATCTAACCGGGTCGGTCTTGCGGTACTCCAAAATAACTTAGCGAATTTGATTTAATATAATGAAAGAGTGACGTGCGCAGTCACATGGTCTGTGGATAGCGGTAATGCTGTGCTGGTTCCGAACGATCGGTTTCGCATCGTTTCTCTTAAGCTCTGTCTGGTTACTTGCGAAACACTGAAGTTCTCTGTGACGGAAAGCTGAAAGTGTACAGGGGAACGTATTCTGGCAAATAGTCCATATTATTCGTCCGTATAACAAATCACTTGTGGATGAAGTCGGCTAATATAACTGTCAATCTCGTTTAAATAAAATCAAATTAATTTAAGACGTAGAAATTTTCCGTACAGGGTTCCGATTCGAAACCGACCTGGTAACTTTCAGTCTTTTGTCATCGTCACACTGGCGACCTGCAGTACATCCACCAGTGACCCTTTATTCCTGGGTGGTGGATTATCAGTCGGCACCCGACCAAAGTTTCTGAAGCGCACTTAGTTCATCAGACTGGTGTTCAGTGGGACCAATGGGCAAAGATTACTTTTACCTGGTGTAAAAGTAAGGTGGAATGGCGCACCACTAAGCCCATATATTAAGTATCCTTCGACTGCTATATTTAAATTCTGGTCAGCCAGAGGTTTAATGTGGTTAGGAAGAATGTCGTGATGAACTGAGATCGCTAGATCATCCGCCAGCGAAGAACTATGGAAACCGACTATTTTACCCAGTTCAAAGTAAGGCATTGACACAAGTCTTTAGTTCCAAATTCCGTCTATCTCCTACTGTTCTAATGGTGTAACATGCTGTGCGGATTAGGTCTGACACCCGGGCGGCATTTAAGTCGCCCTGAAGTACTCACGACACCCCTTTCCGTAGTAGCGTCCCATGGTGGTTGACAGCTAACAAATGAATCAGTACTGTGATGTAGCGAACACATTTAGCTTGATGGTTGTCTCCATATTTATCCAAAACGGTCTACGAAGTTTTGGACATGGTTTCAACTTTCGTCGACTGATTGCTTACACGATCGCCCGTACGGGTCACTGTGGGTCTGATTCCATGCCTCGACAATGGGGTAAATCAGCACCGCTTGAAAATGAAGTAGGCAGAAATTCAGTGTTTATCGATTGTCTCGATTACATTTACCAGCTCTTGAAAAGTAAATGAGGTAGAAAAGAATCACAGATAGTTTCCACGGAATCACGAAGACAAGGAATCATTTTTCCCGTCCTTTGTAAGTCACACAGTTACTTTCCGTCTCCCACAGTTTTACCTCGCTCAAAAGGTTTTCCGGTAATGCACTGGCAAGTTGCTGCCAAATGAAGACTGCCAAATTTTCCGTAGTGGAAACCAATTGCTTATCACGGAAGTATTCTACATCTTTATCCAAATTTTTGTGATCCAAAATATCGAGTACATGTCTTTGGATGATCGACTTCAAATCAGACAGGTTAATTACCATCCCAGTAATGGGATCCGTCGGACCAAACAGAGTGACTTCTAGTTTGTAATTGTGTCCATGACCGTTTGCGTTGTTGCACTTTCCAAAAGTAACTTGGTTCTCTTGATCGCTGAGTTGAACGGAATGAAGACGGTGGCACGCGGAAAACCTCTCCACTCTGGTCAGGAAGCATAGAGGCATTGAGTTGAAGCAATCTGAAAAAGGAAAGATGAATTGAAAGCAGGGTTCTTAGCGATCGGTTGTCAGTATTAGAAACCTGAAGAAGCTGCAGGAGGTTTATAGATAAAACTTGAAAGCAGGCTCTTTATGGCATATCTACTAGCAACATTACCGAAGGAGACTTGTGCGATATTGCAAACTGCCCTTGATGGCTGATGAAATTCATCACCTGGTCTTCAACCATTGGCTGATTCTGCCGATTGATGTAGTCAGTGTTCCCACAGCCCTTGGTCATATCATCGGCCGGTCTTAAATTGGCTTCCAGTTTGGTTAGCGGTTCACAAACGACGTTTGGTGTGGCAGTATCTCCTCGGCATTNGAACTGTATTTTGAGCAGCGTACGGCCAAACACTTGTTTAGATGTCATCCCATTCTTAGTCTGATTGGTACGCTTGAAAAAGAAACCCAATCGTCAGACTGGTCATTATTACTGAATTCCCATGTGCACGGTGCGTTAGGTTTTCGAAATGGCGGAATTCACCAAGCCAAGTAATGTGGTGGAGTTAGGATGGATTTTAGCGACGAATTGAAGTGTAGCTTCACTAGCGAATTCCAATAACGCTTGAATTAATCTATTATTGAGGCTCGATAGTGGGATGTAATCAGTTTTAAAGATTAGTCTGTCCTTAGGCACTAATATCACGTTTAAAACACCCAGGGTAGAGATAACACATGGGGGCTTAGGAATAACTGGTCTGTGGATCCGGCTAAGATAAGCTTGGCAACCAACCGCTTCGGTATTTCGGCGCGATGGATTCTCTTTAGACATTGCATGGAGCCGCATCGGGGAAACCAGAGCAGCTTCTGTGAACCTGTGGAGTAGGCGTGACAGCAGCTTAACCGTCAAGGGTCGAGTTTACAATGCTGCAGTGCACTCCATATTACTATAAGGATCAGAAACCTGGCCGCTACGCGCCGATGACGTCAAGACTTTCAGTGTTTGACCATCGATGTCTTCGGACATTGCCAGAGTACGGTGGAAACACTGGATCGGCAACGCTGAAGTACGTCGAATGGTATTCGGAGGAAATGAAACCCTCAATAAATGAACTGATCACACTGAATGGGTTGTGCTGGCTTGGCCACGTGCTGCGTATGCCAGTCCACCGACTTCCTCGAATTCTTTTTGCACCACCACGTGAAGGGTGAAAACGAACCAGGGGAGGCCAAAGAAGAAATTGGCAGCGAAGCATAGGAACCATTACCGGAAAACTCAGCTGCGCTGGTCATTGCCGTCTTCCCGAATGGGGACCCCGAGACGAGCCATATTAATGGTTAGAGACTGCCAAACATGGCCCAGTCGCGCCCTCAGTGGCGTTCGTGCATTTAAGCTCACAAGAAAACCCTAGAAACTGCTGCCTCACGGTTCAGACTTTCGAGCCAGAAGCTCAAGGTGGGGTACCTCCACCAGATCCCCTTCTTCGGCCTGGGCAACCGGGAAGTAACATTCACCATTGCAGCTCTTCACTCCCCGGCCTTCTCCCACACCCCGTCCCCACCCATCGAACAATGCACTGTGATAAACTCATCTGCCAGTCCCATAGCCATTGTTTCGTTTCTAAACCATTGCCAAGAAAAATAAAACAAAATAATCGCTTACTAACCTCAAGAGTTCCAATCTACGTTGCGGTCCTTAACTTAACTATTCTATCTCATATTGAGCAACAGGCAACTCTTGCTGAAATCTTGCTTTCCCAATCTGTCGATATATGCCGTGTCACCGAAACACGGACACATGACCCTACTTCGGTCATGCGCCTCAAATCCTTCAGGACGAGCTCAGATGTTTTACATTTCACTCCTCGGGTATCTAGTGACCCTGACAGAATAGCTCGTGGTATCTACGGTGTGGGAGTTTCACTCAGCTTTATTGGACTAGATCCAAGTAAACAGTCGTCTTTGCGACGTGCGGTTGTTTGGCTCAAATGGGATTAATGCGGGTCGATGAGGTAAACGGTGTTTATTTGTCGTATCAACACACGCCCCAACAGTTCTGAGACCGAGGACCAACTCGCCCTTCAGGCTCAGCCTCTAGAACTACTTGATTTCGGTCAGATGTAAGTTACTGGGTTCAATGATTAAGATCGCCTTATAACTCCTACCGGTTTTCAACCGCCTGACCACTCGCATTCAGTCTTGGTTCATCATCATCATCGACAGCATGACATCAGTGTTCAACACCGATGCTTCGCTGGCGTATAAACATGATTTATTTGAAAGCCGTATTGTGAAGAAAAGAGTAAAGGTGGACGGGGAAGGGACTTAGTGCTAGCTTACCACAATCACTCCTCGGTTCCTACACTTCCAAACACTCATTCAGGCAATCTGGATAGAAACTGACAATAAGATTGCCAATGACATCGGTTGGCAGCCATATCTTCCAGCGTCTCCAGCCAAGCCAGTGAGGATCATGCAGTCCCCATCCTGAAAGGCGAGTAGCACCGACAGCACCCAAGCGTTTCATAACCTTCTGCTAAGTCAAGGGTTGGCCACCTCTCTGCTTACGCCACTCTGAATTGGGCATGGAAAACAGCACTCTCTTCGGCATACGTAACACATGTCCCAGCCAACGCAGCTTCTGGTGCTGGACACATTCTTCAATGGAAGTATCCGTTACACAACTGAAAACACGCTTTCTAACTGCCTCGTTACGGATTCGCTGACACCAACCCACACGAGCTATGGTTCTGAGACAACGATTGTCGAACACCTGAAGACGCCTCAGGTCCGCTGCTCGAATAGGCCAAGTCTCACAGCCATACAAAAAAACAGCCCGTACTGTAGCTTGATACACACATCCCTTCAGATTCAGGGATAAACCATTCTGACGCCATAGGTGTCTCAATTTAATAAACGCGGCCCGAGCCTTGCAGATTGGTGCATTCACCTCACCTGTTACACTACAATCAGAACTAATACAACTTCTTGGTTGTAAGTATTTTAACTGCCAACGGGCTGTTACATTGTCTGGTTGATTCGGAGGTCAGTCCAGCTTTTCGGCTAACAAACCGTTCACCGAAATACAGTGGTTTCAGATACTACGGCTTCGTACAACAACCGACTGAGGGTAGTTATGACCGACTAAAAAGCATGACCCAAAACCCTAAATGAACTAACAGCGCATAGCGGATATGGTCAAGCACGTGCAGGATTTGCACGGACAAAACGCCGGATATCACGGCGAGAGAGAGAACGGATGAATAACGGGGGCGTGCGACCTAATGCCTACCCCATGTTCCTTCGTGTGGAGATACTCATTGACAGTAAGATTTCTTCGTGGCATCCATACGAAGGCACTGGATCAGTGGCCGAGTCTGCACTTTGGTTGGCTCTCCTAAGTAGCTCGAACAAATCCCATAAGGACGTAAGTGAAAGGTCATGATCTCTGATGGCACCGGTAGATTTCTTTATGTAACATCGTTTAATGCGGTTGACGTGACCCGTTTGCTTGTTATTTCTAACCCGTAGGGTCACAATACCTGAAACCCAGCTCCGTTAGGACTTAGAAACATCTGTAGGTTTGCTACATGGTGTTGACTGAACTGACCTCCGATCGTTTTGTTGCAGCGACCAAGAAACGCTTCCACTAGGGAGCAATGGTTTGGGGCTGCCGCGTTAAGTGTTGGGAGATGTGTCTAAAGTAATATTAAGCACCCATTCTTCTTCAAGTTTCTGCAGCGCTCGCTTTTATACATCAACAAGCCATTCTGCCCGTCCGTACGACTGGGGACTCCGTGCCGGATTTCGAACGTGCTTGGTGGTGAAGTACTTGCAAAGCTCAGCAAAGTGTGACGTAGTGAACTGAATAGCACGTCACCAACCACTGTCTCTAGAAAATCGAGCTGCGAAAACAATCGATCTAGGCGCAAAGCGGTCGCCGCGATTAAGATTCCGCTCAAGAGAAAATTCTCGCTATTTTAAGTCAGTGACAAGGTGGTTGATTCCATCAATAGGCCCGGTACACATTATGTGTACGGGATTACGAGCTTTGTAGAGCTGACTAGAACTGTAGTTCACGTCTAACAGATAACTTTGAGGCCAAGGCGGAATGCTGGCATGTACGAACAGGCTGTTCAGTATCTTGGTCCATAAACGGCGAACACGTCTAACCATAAGCAATAGATTTTGTCCAGCTGATTTCTGGATGTTCATTAGGTAGTTGTCTTATAACTTTGTCTTGCCTTGTCTTGGGTGCAACCGACTTAACATATAGCATTACACGCCTGTCAATAACCATGATTGTAAATCTTCGCCTTCTGAATTGTTCAGGAAATTCGTCGGAGAACTATCAGCCGTCCGTCACAAAAATACCACACTGAGTTGTAATCCCAGATCTTCAGCTGTTTCGGCCTTAACTACATCTACAGTAGCCGGAACTTGACGCATAAACGTGTGAAACGCATACTGAACTTTGAGTATGTGCTGATAGAAGGAAAAAACAAAGCCAGGTATTTTGACCATGAAAGACTAGTACTCTCGACAGCGCGTCCAAGGTGCTGAAAAACAATGTCCTTTTGAGCCTTAACTAAGTAGCAGTGTTGTAACACATCTCGGAACCTACTAGCTGTACGCCGAAGATTGATAACAAGGGACTGCCGCCTATGTACCGCGTAAAACGTCAACCATGAAGTATCTTATGAGGCTTTCTGGCTACAAAAACAACAGCTAGTCCGTTTTTGGCCGGCTGACGGTAATTCTTTTGCACGGTAGTTACTGCGCATGAAATGCGTCGAGGGGTTTTGGGACTGATGTAGTAGCGGCACCAATGGTAGTCCGTGCAGGGTCACAGTGTGTAACAGTTGGTTCTAGATTTCATAAAAGCTTTTTGGCGTCCCGAAGATGAAATCCAGTTTGTCGTTCGGCAAAAGATCGTCAAAAAGTTCCCGCAACCCATACATCTGTAGAACAAAATTGTGGTAGTCATTGACTAGACTAAGAATTGACTGTAAAGAGATTCTGTTACGCGGTGGTAACATACGTTTGGTAACTCCGATTTTACTTGGGTCGGGAACGATAGGCACTCTCCCACGGAAACGAGGTATGTGACACTGGAAAGCATAAATGAACGCTTCTGAGGAAGAACACGAAAACATACTGTCGTTCTGTCAAGTTATTTGCCATGGTGAATACAATGTTCTTCCGGTGTAGAGCTCATAACGACGATATCGTCAAGGCGAGCCGCTGTAAACGGCAATCCACGTCCAACAACAGTTGCAATATCGCCGGAGCACACCTCAAACAATAGTCAACTGCAACGATACAAACCACGAGTGTTTGTTGTAATTCTTTCGAGCGTTCGCTAACTATAACTCGTAAGTATGCGCAGAATTTGTCCGGGTAAGTTTTGAGAATAAATCCTCAGCAACCGGCAACGGATGCTGCGCTCTTGGTGCCTCATTGAGCCCATTTGGAAAACCGGCACATGGCACTTCACCGTCTGCCTTATTGACAACCGCATTGGCGGCTACCAAAGATCAATAGGTCACTAAGACTATGATACTTACAGTCGGGTCGACTTAGCGTCGTTCGTTTGGGACCAGAAATTGGACCTATGCCATGCTTCTCTTTTGGAACCCGAGATCATCTGCAGAAATGTTATGGTATTCCGTTTTTGAAGGACACTGCCGGAAATGGGCAAACTACTTCTCGAGGATGCCAAATCGAGTCTTCTGATGCGTGGATTTCTGTTAAACGACCCGTGTCGCAGGCTATCCGGTCGGGGCCTAGTGAATTCGGGTGACTACTAATGGATATGTAGTAAATGCCTGATTCAAAATGATCGCGGAAACTGAAATGACACTGCAACTCACCAAGGAAGCAAACAAAATGCATTGTGTGCAGTTCGGGTTTCTGGACTGCTTAGTGGCTATCCATAAGAATCCCACGCAGTGCAAGGAATGATTGTAATGCCCGGTGTCATATTCAGCTGAAGTTTAACAGAAACATCCTCGATTAATACTGTGATACACCCCAGTAAATCCCGGAGCGTCCCACAATTCGTAGCAAAGAGGACATTGGACTGATGATTTACTGGTGGATTTGACAGCTACCGTCTGCACTGCGACACCTTTTAACCCACCTTATAGCAATCTGATAAACATGATTACTGAATGGCTTAAATCGGACAAGACACCACTGTCTTCGAGGCAAAAACGCAGTGGGTGGACGCCGTGAGCGTGCGAAATAAAAAAGATCACAGTAAGTAGTTGGATAGACTGTTACCATCCCATTGAAATATGGGATGCTTTACAGAATCTGCGTCGTACTTTCGATTCACAAGGCGCTTGTATTCGGTGGTGGTGCACTGGACTGATAGTTTTGTATTGGCATCCAGCTCTTCAAGTAGAAGAGTTCTGATATTTGCTTCGTTAAGGGATGTTCATCATCCCACAGATATCAAATATTTGCGCGTACTTATTTGCTGATTCAACTGGAAACCTTCGTACTCCAGGTTAGCTCTTGCGGCATATGTGCCTTGGTATTCTCAAACAATAACACCGAATGTTGTGCATAGACGTTCTTCCACTAAAGATGAATTCTAGCTTCGCAACAATGTCCTTCAAAATCGAATTTTATGGTGAAATGTAATTGCGATACTGAACATGCTCAGAAGCACCAAATATCTAAACCAGTAGGCGCACTTCCGCAGGTTCATCTAGGGTCATGAGAATCACCAGAAAAAAATCCTCAAAAAGTTAACTACTGTGACTCCATTATCTGGATTGTTGTGAAGCCTGCGAATTTTGGAAGCGATTAGCTGCCCCATTTGTGAAACGTGCAGACTTTTCTCAGCTGATCTGTGAGCGCTGCGAAAAGCCTTGCGCCCGCCTGCTGATTCTCCTAGATAATCGTGTTCTTTTGTTGTTGCTGTTTTAATAATTTCACGACTCCTACTTCAGCCATCTCCGTTTGCCGTTGCTGTAGTTAATGATTGCCTGCTGCGTTGTCGGGCTGGTTCGAGGAAGACAACAACTCGATTGACTGATACTGGTGTGCAGTTGTGATGGATTTACAAGCATGACTAAAAAAACATGAACAACTAGTACGTAGCGGACGTTATCAAGCACGAACACGCTGGGTATCACAGCGAACAGACACATTCGGAGACGTGCACACACCAGTGGTTGTGCGAAGACGCACGACTAAGGACTTCTTATCGTCCTATTATCAACACAGTCCCTGCCAAATGTAGCTTGAACTCGCACGGGGTGTCCCTAAATTACTTTCGGGACTTGGAGATACGATTCTTTGAAGACGCTTTTAATCCACCAAAGTGGGAATAATCATGCAATTAAAAAAGCAGGTGGAGACTAAGGCTCGGTTTTCAACTTGAATTATTTAGATCTGTTGAGTCGAACACGACGAATGGTGTATACCCTTCAATCCACTTATCCGCATTGTCTCTTTTGAAAGAATTCGAGGTGTATCCTATAAATGGAAAATGCGAACGAAGATTTTTAAGGGCATGGTTCCCCAGGAACATCTATTGCGGCAGACTGAGCTTGTCAAAGGAATTCACGGCAGACGTACATCTTGTCACGCGACCAGTAATGAATCGCGCACCTACAATGTTTTTCAAACGCTGAACTATCCAGGGTCCGACTGTGTTCTGCAAGACCATAACTAGGAACATTTCTGGTGGATGAGTAGCTCAAATATCCATTACACTGGTCTTTATCGAGCATGAGACCTAACAGATCACGAAAGATGGGGTCACGAGAGACATTCTACAAAACTCTTCGAGGAGGCTAGCAGTCAAGTAGGCCATGACGATCCATTCTAATTTTTTCTTAGAAGAACCATTATGCTGTGAATCTAAGCACGGACGACTGCTACCTGAGTTTGCAACTTTGGTACAATTGTAAACATACCTAGTGATATACATGTGCCATGGCGAACATTCTGCTGTAATCACTCAGGGAGACGGTCTTTACGTACTTGAGCTGCATTGTATCCATTTCCACGCAAGCGCAGCGCAGGCATTCGAATAAGATAGACGTTTACTGGTAAGTCAATAGTTGCAAGGATCAGAAGTTCATTGGGACAGTGGTAGAATTTAAGTGGTTAGTAACCAACCGGTATTTGCGAAGAACGGGACGTTAAAGCGTACTAAGCCAGCGACAAGACGCTTCAACTGGGGACCATCTTTGTCTGGCTTCATTCATTCAAACCAGTGGTTAGATTAGTTCCCACCGCCATGCCGATCAGTTAATCGAAGCAGGCAGTTGGGTAGTTCATTATTGGAAGAGTTGTGGAGGTTGTCAGTTGACTCAGGCTAATGGACCTCGGGCACTTAGACGTCATTCTACTTTTGGAGCTGATTCACCTACTTGAAGCAGTGCTTTGTGTGCGACGGAGATGCTGCACATCGATGTGCAGTGATGGTCAGTGATCACTGACCAGCGAAGTACTGGTGTAGACCGACATAAACTGGGTATGGAGTGCTATGGAGGTGGTCCATACAAACTGCCAACGATAAAAATTACTTGACAACCAGGTAGCAGAACGTAAGCAATTGAGGACGAGTAAACCTGCGTGTGAAAGGGAAGATTGGGTGTGCGTTCGTGCACTGCTCGTGGTTCGCCTTCGTACTCAAGCGCATTATACACACTGTAGTCACACCATCATCCGTAAATGAGTCCATCGCCAAACCACACGGAAAGAGGTCCCACAGCCCATGGAATTAGGGACGTCTCGACCTAATGCAGTTAGGGTTTGGGTTCAATTTGGGAATGTTTATGGTCCTCATGGCCAAACTTTGGATCCGTGATAGTAGCTTAGTCTACAAGGAACCATAAACTGTGCAAACACGTCCGCAGAAAGGCCTCAATGACCAACCGATCGAATCGGCCGCACGGGTATGCGGCGAAACAGCTAGGGTCCAGAGAAGGCACGGCTAGATTGGTCAGAACATGGACCAATCAGCATCACGTGATTGTGATTAGGGCGCCGTGGGCTAGAGGCACACCCAAAATT